CAAACAGAGATGTCATAGATTTGACCTATTTGCCTGAGTTAAATATAAGTGTTGGGGTCGAACAGAAGCAGATCATCTTGCCTTTCTTCCCAGTTTAATGACATCACAGTTTTTTTCTTGGTTTTGAAGTTTTCAAACTTCAAACGGGGACGACTCGCTGCCATTTGGGACTGACAGTGTTCCAAGTTGCTCGCTGCAGCTTTAAATAGACGACATTAATGAGTGCCTCTTCTAAAATATGCATTGAGTCCTATTTAATCTTTGCCTTCTCACATTGAAGTGGCTAGAGGTGATTATTCTGAACTTTACTTGACTGAGGCACAAATGGATTTCTCTTGGATGAGCTTGGCCCGAGTAATGCTAAATGAGCCAATCATTGTCTTTTGAAATATTGTTGGTCGCGGGCCAGTTCAGCTCAAGAAAAAAAAGGAACAATAGTGTTACATATCCATTACGGGATGAGCTGCCAAGTAGCAGTTGTTTTATGGGAAAGAAGCTTCCTAGGCTTTAGGGGAGGCACCCTGGTATTCAATTTAGGGCTTTAAAGTGATGTTATTGTTTTACATGTAAAGCAAGCAGTTTAACATTGTACTGAAGAATATATGGGATTAAAGGGATGGATGAATGCAGTGTTTTCGGTGTTGAAACTTTAATTTGATATGTTTCTCTCACTGCTGCAGACACGATAAGCAAATATAAGATGTCAATGTCATGTTCCTCATCCATTTTTGATATGTTACAGAATCATTTAATCTGTTATTCACTTACTGTGTTGTTTTCCCTTGCGGGTAATACAATCTATGATTGATTTATTCCGCCCTTAGCTCTTGTAATCATCAGAACTCTTTGCAGTGAAGTTTCCAATGCAGGTTTATATTTTGTGGTGCATTGTCCACACACCAAACGCAGCACATTTGACTGAAGGCTGTTATTTAGTGCATGACATTGTCCACAATGCCATATGCAAACAACACAAAGCATATTTTATTTCCTTTCTGCCACATCTTATTACAGTTGAATGTTCTGTGAACGGCTCTGTGCCTCGGCCACGGGAGCCTCGTCCTATCAGAGGGCCAGACGCTGCAGCAGCTGTTTTAATAGAACCACAGTATGTCTCCCTTGATCCAAGTCAGCTCACCTGGTGTGAATCAAGCCACTTGGCCATACTTTGTTTGTTTGTGTGTCCTATTGCCTTTCCTTCCAGAAATAGGACTGCTCTTTCTCTCAACTCTCAAGGCAATGTCTAGCCCCAGGTGTATTAAAGCATGACTGCCTCCCCTCTTGTCAGGGTTAGAACAAAGCAGCAGCAGCACAAGCGACAAAACCCGCCAGCCCCAGACCCTCAGCACACCTACAAATCTCCCTAATGCTCCGCCTTCCTCTCTGGCTGTTTTGCATCTGACTATTTGTCCTTCTCTTCTCTCTGTTTCTGCATCACTGGCTCTCACAGCCCCTCACAGAATCTACCTTATTGCATGTATGCGGCTCTGCCCTTCTATGGCTTTGCCGCTCTGTGGTGTAGTCTGTAATTACAGCTTTATTCTGTGAGCTCAGCCAAGGACTCCTTGGTTCTTGAGTGAAAGGGGTCCCTGTGGGCGCCTGGGGTCCTTCACGGAGGGGATTTAGGCTCTGTGGCTGTGTAATTATGCCTATTCCTCTGGTTTCCATTTGCCTGAGCTGCTGTTTATTTGGTTCAATCTGAGTGGGGAGCATCTGACTCAAAGGAGGAAGGGCAGAGGAAAGGAAGGAGGGAGGGAGAACGGGAGGGGCTGGAGCTTTTCACAAAGCCAGCCCTATTGTTTGAGAATTCAAGTGGGTGAGGTCTGGCCAGGTACATATTTATGAGGTTTTACAGTCCCCTCCCACCCCCACTTCTATCCAACTCAAGATTAATCTTTAACTAGTGTCGCCGCACAGTAAATTGTGTTTGCTATTTCAACAAATATCACAGTACAGCTGCCACGACTGGTAATCTAAGCTGTGATAAAATAGAGGGAAGAATTGCCCTGCGGTGCACGAGGACACAGGTGTTCCTCAAGGTACACATGACAAGGTTGCCAGTCCTCGCTGTCAAACTGTATTAGTAAATCAATCTGTCATCGTCAAATGCCCCCCAAGTTTAAATCTCTATAGAGAGGGTCTCGCTGATGTGGTCCGAAGGAAATGAAAGATGATGTGAACTCAGTAACTTCAAAAGGTTGTCACTTTTTTATATCATTTGATGTAGGCAGTGAAGGCTGTGCTTGAGTGGAGGCTTTATGCCCTTTCTCTCGTAATGCTCTGCTTTTGAGAGTCGTGCACCTTGCCGTGAAAGATTGAAAGAAATACATTGTTCAACTGTACTTAATAATAGGAAACCAAATCTTTCCTCTCTTTTGTGCATGCAAGTGTCCTTCAAATGGCTACCTATAGTTTTTATAGGAAACATTTTCATTACAATCGATGCCGCTGCTTAGAATGTTTGACAGCCTTCACGCACCCCCCCCCTCCCTGTCTGCTTAAGATTCATGTAAAGTTGAAGAAAGACTACATCTGATACTGCATTCTGTGGGTGTACACATAAATGGATCCCTCTCCTGTATTCTTACACATTTGAAAGCCCCCTGTGGAAGGTTTATCTCTGAACACAGCGATTATCCATCATTGCGATGCAGTTACTCAGCGTTAAAGAGCCTCTCTGTTTGTGAGCCATGTGTGTAGGTCCCAGTCCTCCACTTGAGGCCACAACATATTTTCTCCCTGTTTATGACTTTATTCACTGTTGGCTTTATGAGTCCAGTGTGATGAACGGAGGAATTTCTGTCTTTCTTCCTGTGGGTCCTAGTCTATCCATAGGAGATAATTATAGTGGTGACTGGTTGTAAATAAAAGCCAAGGGTTGTCCGACCTGGGAATGAGACATCATCAGCCCTCACCTGGAAAGAAACATAAATCAGAGGCCGAGGTAAAAAAGATGTGAGGAAGACAACAGGATGCTGCAGTCCAATGACACATCTGTTCAGATTTCTATCATTTAAGACCATGGGCCAGGTGTGAGTGTGACTCAGAATAAAGGAACAACAAAGGGCAAGAAATGTTTTTTGTCAATATTCATTTTAATGGTCATACTAATCAATATTAAAAGAAAAACATAGAAAACAACAGATCCTCAATTTTGAGAGGCTAAAAGTAGCAAATGTTTAGTATATTTGCTAAACAGATAAAAAAGAATGATCATCATCATTTTATATTTGATCATTTAGTGAATCACTATAAAGGCAGGCAGATTGAAAGGGACAGCTAATGCCAGTAGACACAATGCATCAAGACATAAAGCCAAGGGGCATGAGAAACAGAGGTTTACTCTAGAGCAGGGGTGGGGAACCTCCGACCATTTGGTACGGCCCTCGAGGTAATTTATAAACACACGCAAAAAATAAAAAAATTAAAGAAATCTAGACCGCAAAATAATTAAACAAGCGAGTGCCTGTTTTTCCTGGCCAAGGTCAGGGTCCTTGAACACAACACGAGCCTAACTTGTCATCACGTGGTGTAGTGCTGCTGGAGAGCACCGGAACGCCGCTCCGGCACTTCAAAAATTGCAGTACCCATAAGGAGCCGTACACATGCCGCAGTTTTTGCGTGGCTGTGTCTTTAGTTGAAAGCCCAGTGGCGATCTGTTCATCTGTCATACTGATCATACAGTCAATAACTTTGTTGTTATTAGCATCTGGTTAGCTAGCTATGCTAACGAATATAAGAAGCTTTTTCTACAACCAGTGAGGTAAAGGCACATCTTTATGTGATCATTATAGTTATAAAAAAATAAGAGAATAAAGTAAACAGGTATAAAATACTATATGACAGTACAAAAAAGTTGTTATTAATAAACAAGAATACAGTTTAAATGGGGAGTGATTTGTAAAATATCCATAAAGAAAAAGAAATCTGCTTCCAGTTCTGTTTCATATGGGTGTTGAGAGATGTATCCATAGATCTCCTAATGTTGCTCTCAAAGTGCACCAGATTGATGCTTTTAACTTCAACATTTAAAAATAAATCACACATCTTGTGTCCATATCTTTCTGTTTTGGTGGTCATGCCACACCGTGCACATGCATGCATCCGTGAGTCATGGTAAGATATCTGGATTAAGAGGTTGCTTTTTCTTTGCACAGCATGAAAGAAAGGCCAAATGAATGGGCTGTGATTTTAGTATTTTTAAGCAGAAGTCAATAATTTGTACGGCCCTCGGAGGATGTTGAAAAAATTGAAATGGCCCTTGAGAGGAAAAAGGTTCCCCACCCCTGATTTAGAGTTTAGTTAAAGGTCAAGATATGCATAAAGACTAAACCAATGGCGGGATTAAAGAAGGTCCGTCCTTGCTAATTGACCCTTTTTTCTACCAAACTCCCTACAGGCTCAGATAGCTGGGGAGAAGGGCATAATTGCTAGTTTTTTTTATATAGCTAAAGTGTGTGTTCTCATTGTTTTGAGTGCTTACTCTTGCATTGTTTCTTTAATAGCAGCTCCAGGCACTCATTGAAGTATTTGTGAGTAAAAAGTAATTAAAATTACAATGGGCTAGCCAGGGTTTTGCGGGGTAGGTGGCAGGGCGTCACAGCACACGATGACTTGGCTCCAACTCACTGATTACGGATGCATTGGTTCTCTCTCGGTCCTTCCATCTCATCAGAAACAGTACCCCCATGGACAAAGACAGGGTTGTAAAGAAGTGCCCATTATGTTAATAACCCCCTGAGTTTTTACATGCAACCTCCATGTACCAACCCTTTACAATGATGTAAAGGGTGCAGACGTTGCTTTTGTAGCATACTGGGGATTGTGTGGCTCAATCCATGAGTTTGACTGTGCGTGCATGTACTACCTAGGAGGCTGAATTGACTCCTTGGCTTTCAGTGCATATACTTGCTATTGACTAGAGTGCTCTGCTTGGTCTTGGACACTTGTTAATCATTATTAAATGTTGTTTTTTTCTTGTCTCTTTCTTGTACTTCTAGCTGGCGACGGGCAGATGGTGCAGATGGACTCCAGTAAGTCTGGCTTTGTGGGATCACAAGTTGAACTGCGCTGCATCTTCATCAACAGTAACCCTCCCGTCAAGATCTCTCAAGTCACCTGGCAGAAGTTCCTCAACGGCACCAAACAGAACGTGGCCATAGCCAACCCGGCCCTCGGCGTGTCAGTCCTGCAGCCCTTTAAGGAGCGCGTTACCTTCAAGCAGGCGGCCGTTCGCCACCGCACGCCCTCGCTGGAGGACACCACCATCGTGTTCTCCAGCCTGCAGCTGTCTGATGAAGCTGCCTACATCTGCGAGTACACCACGTTTCCAGCAGGAAACAGGGAGAACATGGTCAATCTCACTGTATTTGGTAAGAAATTGTGTTGAATGTGTTACAATAATAGCAGTTACCTGAAAGGCAAAACTGGCAGGAAAATGTATTTTAGAGAAGAACAATGCCTCCTTCAAGGGTGGACATGTTTACCCTGTTCATGAGAAGAGACCGTGTTAATATTCCAATACCCTACCAGTGGTGTTCCCATGATTTAAACGCTTTCGTATGGTTTGCTACAACTTCCCATTTCGTTGAAGCAAGTTGGCAAGTTTCGTTTTAACAAAATATATCCAAAGTCCCCCTGCATAGATTTGAAGCTTATTAATCTAATCTCAGTTCTTCTTTAGCTAGAATGTATTTGTCTTCATTGACACAATAGTTGCACATTCAGCACAGGTTTTTGAATGTGCGTTTGTGGGCGAATGCCTTATCAAACAAAGAAGTTACAAACTGTGTGAATAGCATGTTTTTCCAAAAGAGGGGATAAGAAAACCACCCTTTTCAGCCTTCTGATGATGATATTTTGTTAGTGTGCTTTATTGTGTTATTTAGCTTGAGAAGTGTCTCAATGACTAACTTAATTAAGAATGTTTGCCACCAAACATCTTTAAAAATGATCGAAATGTGTAGGTGCACTGTTTTCAGTAAAAAAACTAAAATGTAACCACATTCAATACCACAACCTTTTAATGTTGGTAACCAGGGTTTTTATGTGCCTTAGTCAGCAATTAGCAATTGTACAGCTTCCACATGAGGAAAACACATTTGGGAAGTGAAAAACAGATATCATCACATTTCAAGCCAAAAAAGAGAAGAAAAAACAGGTTGTGCACCCTAGCCTCAGTTATGGAGTTATTTCCTTGAAATTCTTATTGTTGGCGTGATAAGAAGTCAGAGGGATATAAAAGCTGTCACCTAAATTTGGTTTATCTTCGACTTGAGGCACAAAAAGAAAATGTTTCCAAATCAGATAACACAGGGTCAAACTAACTTCTTCCCTTATAGTGAAAGCCAAAAAGAAAACACTTTTCACAGCTCTGCTCTTCAGTGTGACATCGCCACAGGCAGTGTTGTAAAGTAGGTTGAGTTTCTTTGGAAAAACTAAAAACCAGATGCTGCTCTGGAGCTGCTGCTAAAAATCAAGTTGTTTACAGTTAATACCATTGCCACCCAACACGTCTCTATCCGTTGAGGACCTTGTTGTGTATACATGTTCATTGTTGGGGTGTCATTTAATACCAGTCCCAGATTGGCTCATGTGGCTTTTATAAAATAGGATACCGCTGAAGAGAGCACTCAATAAAAATGGCAGGTGCGACGGAAATCAATAAAGCCACTTCAGAGTGTGTCATTTGGCTTGAATAATCTCATCTAGTGGGAAACAAAGGAGCGTCTGGGAGTTAGTTTACTTTGGCAAGAGGCAGCTTTGAAAAGGTTGTACACTGACTTTGATTAGGGATCTAATTAGAAATTAAGTGTTGCTGTGTTTTCCATTAAATCCCAGTAAAAGAAAAAGCACTTGGCTTAAGTAGTCCCTGTTGCCGGGGCTTCTTGTCAGCTCTGAGTCCCCGTTTTGTGTCACTGAGCCTCCCAGGTCTTTTTAGGCTTCTGTGGCTCAGTGAATGTGAGGAACCTGTGTGTTGATAACCAACCGGCAGCGTTCAAAAGAGGCCTCTTCATGGCTTATCTTTTCAGTTGTGCATTCGCTCAAGCTCAAGCCTGCCTTTTGATGTACCAAGAGTAGATTGCTAATTGGCAACTCACAAAGGATTTCAAATTGGATGATTGTGCATTTCGGTAGGAAAGTGGGTTCTACATCTGTGAGAGCTTTGACAACTGCTTTGGCTTTGAGAAGGCAAGAGGCAAAACATTGCTGTTTTGATTTACAACACTGTTTTCATCTCTCATTCCCTTAGTTAGTTTTACTCTGAGTTCAAAAGGCTGATAGTACACAAAATTAGACACTTTAATAAGATGGAAACTGAAGGAAAAAGCACAAAATATCTGTTTAATGAGCTTGACTTAAATTCATTTTTGATTGTTTAATCCTTTTCTTCTCTATAGCCCGGCCTACGACACGTATGACCCTGACAACCCCCACAATTGTGGCCAGGCCCACGAAGCGCAAGATGACTGTCGCCACTTGTATATCGGCCAATGGGAAGCCCCCAAGTGTGATCAAATGGGACACCAGGTTGAAGGGTGAAGCCACTTTCCAGGAGACTCGCAACCAAAATGGCACTGTGACGGTGAGGAGCAACTACGTGGTGGTGCCGAGCCGCGAGACCCACAAACAGAAGCTGACGTGTATCGTGACGTACCGGAGTGAAAGGATCACAGAGAGCGTGGTGCTCAACGTGCAGTGTAAGAATCTGCTCTTTTAAAACTGCCCTATTGAGAATGTTTTAGGTTTGTTTTTTACAGATAAAAAAAACAAACATGTCCTTCAAATGAGCTGGTTTGTTATCTTCACCTGGATTTAATGTTCTTATGAAATTATGTTTTTGGTTTCCTGCTGTGTAAACCACTCACCATTGTTTACAGTAAACAAGGCCCTCTTGCAAAACACAGTTCAGACCCTTTTCCAGTTAGACAAGTTAAGAAAACAAATAAACATGTGCTGCTAAGTATGCAGTACTAAGAACATGTTGGGATACTTTTTATATACGTTTTACAAAAAGATTCCCCCTTTTTTTTCCTAATTATTCACACAATAAAATGTAAAAATGATTAAGAAAAATAATGGAACAATTGTTGTGTTGACATTTTGGAGGACTTTTATATGAAATGTCATTCTCCTATGCACCACAGGTTAGAATATTCTGTTGTCCTTTTATAAGTATTTACCTCGAAGTACAGCAATGCAAAGTAAAACGTTTTTTTTGTGTGTGGGGAAATTGTTTAAAAGTGTAAACACTATAGTTACTGTGACAGTGGTGCAATGATGCAACAGTGTTTTGGGATTGTGTTGTAAGGTGCTGACCTGACTGTGGTGTCCCTTCCTTGCAGATGAACCCGAGGTGACGATCGAGGGCTTTGATGCAAACTGGTACCTGAACCGTCTGAATGTTCAGCTGACCTGCAAGGCCGAGGCTAACCCCCCTGTCACCATCTACCAGTGGAAACTGTGAGTCTCACTAAACCCTAACAAAAACCCCTTAAGGCTTAGAAATCAAGACAGCATTGCTACGAGTTGTTTCACTCACAATAAAATAAAGTGTTTATGTGGAGTGCTTAGAAAGGCAATTTTATAGAATGGCCTAGTCGAATGTAGTCTGCTCTTTTCCGACATTTGTTTCAAGGCAAATATAGATATACATACAAGAAAGTAATCTCTAAAGATAAAAACACTCCAGAAATGTTTCCCCGTTTTATTTATTTGTTTTAAAATGTGTAATGAAGATAAGCCTTTCAACCTGAGGCAGAGCACAGTGGTCCTATTACGTCTGCAACACACACCCCTATCTGCCTGATGGTCACAGATACTGGAAGATGAATGGGAGCAGAACTCGCTTTGCTTCGCTTTTGGGGTTTTGCTTTGAAGTGTGAGGACCAGTATGCAGGTAGAGGGCTAAGAAAGCGCAATTGTTAATGCATTTGTGCTCATGAGGGCAGCGGTTTATCCCTGACACACAGAGAAGAGGACTGAAACTGAAAACCGGAGTATGAGCCGTGGATTAGGCCGGCATTCCGCAGGGCTGACAGCAGTGTTTTTGCCTGACTGTGAATACATGAGCAAGAAGAGATGCAAACATGTTTTCACGGCCTCTGGGAATCTCCCAGAGGCCCCGGGTTTGATCTGTTTTTAGTAATTGCATGAAAGTCGGTCACGCAGAAATTATGTAGTTTACATATGAGCACCGACACATGGAAGGAATACATCCAAAATGTAGATTTGTTACACCATCATTGGCCCTGATCAAACACCATGATTGGTTTTGGTTGTAGGGTGCAAAATTAAATGTTAAGTTAATGCAGCTTTTTGGATACAAAGCAACTATTGTGAGTGTATCACAGTTTAAAATGAATGTTTTATATGGTAAAATTGAGAGATAAATGTAGCAATTTGTCGTGTAATTGCTCCGTGAACGCTGGGTTGAGAAATATGTCACTGGACTTGAGTGGATGTGGATTAATAGACCATTGTGCCCTCATTGTATCTACTCTACAGCCCACTGTTGGATTTTAATGAGGCATGGGGAGTTTTTTTTCTCCCTTATGCATAGATTCAGCTCTTGGGGCAGACACACTTATACACACAGCAGCTAAAGAAGACGACAAGATAGGGAAGCTTTGACCTGCTCGGGGTATTTTTTCCCTTTATCAGAGGCAAAGGGAGATTTAAGGAGATAGGGGAGGCTAGCGAAGGAATAGGAGGAGGCTGAAGAGATGTGATCTAGAAAGACGAGGGCACTGTGCTGACAGATAGGAGGGGACGGCCATTGCTGCACTGGAAATGAGATGCCAAATCTGTTGTGAAGGTTCCCCTGGGCTCCTGTGTGGAGGTCAGCACAAGGCTGTGACGGAAGGATCCGGAGCAGGCTGGCAGGATTGCGTCACACTACACCACAAAAACACACACACACGAGAGGTGTAGCCAAATCTAGTAAATACTAATATATCTGTGAGGAGGCCCACATCATTTTTACTGCTAAATGAAATGTAAATATGATTTATCTTATTGAATAGATAATGTTAAAGGTTTATTTTGTAATTCATTGGGTTCATATGGCAGCTATTTGTTTTTCTGTTTCCACACTTGCTTTGTTTCCCTGCATTGTGTGAAGAGAAAAAATAATCTGAGAATCTTTGATTTTCTTTGTTTTTTTAATAGAACAATGCCAGGGCTATTTCTCTAAATGGGTTAATTGGGAGCTGCACAGAACTAACGGAGACTCTACAAAACAAAGGACACACCCTATTTGAACTTTATTGTTTGTTTTTTTGAAATGTTTGCTTGTAGGGCATTCTTCACTCACCACGCTCATTTATTGAGTCTGTTTCAAGTGCATACATCAGTTTCCAGTGCGCCAAAAGAATACTAAGTAGGGGTAGTGTTGTTTATCATCTAAAATAACTCTATGACTTGTGTGCTAGGATTTTTTTTTTTTTTTTTTTCCTGAAAAGCCATATTCACACACACACACACATGGGGCTCTATAAATAAGAAAGCAGTGTTATTCTTATCACTGCGTTTTGCGGTGTGATTACTTCTAACTCCACTCTAATTAGCTGGCTTACTTATCTCCATTGTAAAAATGTGATTCTATTATTCATGTCAATTAAAGGCCACAGTAAGGGAACTGTTGGTGCGATTCACCAATGGCTGTGGATAAAACGCACAGATCACTTAATATCCCTTTAAGGCAAGTTTATTGCCCCTTTTATTTACCATAAGCAATTAGTAAGTATTGCTAATGCTTTCTTCGTCTCATCAAAGACAATGAAACCGCACGCTCGACATGAATACACAAACACATTTAGGCTAATTAAACGGATGTATGTTTGATTAAAGACGTCCTTTATCGCTACTTGTTTGTTTGTTCCATGTCCAGAAAGTATTAACTTTTTCTCTTTGAAGAAGATTTGAATTTCCTGTAATCAGGCCTCTGTTTCCAATGTAAACAATCTTATTTTGAGACCTATAAACTAGGGCTGTGCAATTAATCGTATTTTAATCGCAATTACGATTTTGGCCTGCCACAATTACGAAACCAACATAATCGAAAAAAACGATTATTTTGCTTTGCTAGGTTGTGACCGTGCACTGCAACATATTTGATCAAATTTATTTGTATTTATCATATTTATATATGTTTAGTAGCTTGTTGAAGTGCGCTCCAAAATATTTGTTGATCTTGTTTATTGGTATATATTATTTTGATATTATTTATTTAAATGTAGATATAAATGTATCATTTATTTTATTTATTTTTGTATTGGTTTTTCAGTTGAATTATACGTTCAGGGAAATCAACAGTTAAAAAGATACTGTTCAAATTATTATTTGTATTTAAAAGTTCAATAAATGGATGTTTTCAAAGTCAATGAATAATCGTATTTAATAATCGTGATATCAATTATTGACCAAAATAATCGTGATTATGATTTTTGCCATAATCGCACAGCCCTACTATAAACTAGATTAAACAGACTATGAATAACAAGAGCATTTTAATTGAAGGCATTTAAGCATACACAGACTGTTTTATTTTCAGTATTGAAGTTCAAAGCCACCTCCACACAATGCGGGTTGTAGTAGCATGGCGTGATGATGAATGGACTGTCCTTGATACTCACACACACACATTCAGATGTCTTCGTACAAATTCTCAGGTCGCCGCAGAATCTGTGGTGAATAGCATTTAGCCACCTTTCCCATTCTGCAACAAATCAATTGGGCTTTGCAAGACTCAGCATTCGATAGAGGCTCACAAGGTAACTGATTATTGAATCGTGGCACACTGTACTGTGGGTTGTTTGCAGCTCTCTTGTACAATGTCGCCAAGGTGGCCAATGAAAAACAGCTCCACCACAGCTCTTTCTATTACCCTTTTGTTCCCAGCTATGGACACTTTATCATTGAAAAATGTAACACTTCATATGAAGGTCATATCTGTGAAGCAGTTTAGCAAGCCTCATTCACATTGTAATGCATATTTAGGGCTAATTCAAATGATGTATACATACTATAATCATTCATGAATATGTACAGTATGACATGATTTATATACTATAAAAAGTGGCTGACATATTATATTGTAAGTTCAGCATTCATTGTGCTTTATATGCTTTTTTTACGATTTAAATATTATATACCCTCTCTTATGTCTACCACTTTAAATACTGATGAATATGCTTGCGATGCATACCTGAAGACATGACATTTCTTATAATATATTAAAAAAATAAATCTCCAAGCTTTTCATCCTGACTTGCCTAGAAAATCTGCTCCATAGTCAGAATTTAACCTCATATGGATAGGCCGTTTCTAAGTGACATGTTATTACCATGCCACTGTGTCTTTCCCCATGTCACTGAAGAGCCTTGTTGAAAGCCTGTTTAGTGCAGCTCAAGTGCTTGATGTGTGGCCTTTGTTAGCATGAGACCTTATTTAGTTTCCTCTCTTATATTACATTTAATTTTTTTTCTCTGGCTGTAATCAATAGAGCTTTACATATACAAAGTGTAGGGTGTAACCTCTTTTGCATAATCCTTAAAAAAAACAGCGTCACCCACACCCAGCATCCCCACACAGTCACAGCTATCTGATACTATCACAGTCTGTAGCTCCACTTGAGTAGGATCCATTCACAGCAGCCGATGAAGCTCATCGAGGGGAAGCTAACAGGAAACGTCTTAATTGTCGCACAATTTGATGCCTTTTTTCAAGCCTCCGGGCGCCACAAAAAGGGTCCAGATAATAGACAGGAGGTTTAGTTAGCTCGTGATCCCTGACCTCAGAGTGTGCTGACCTGATCAAAGGACATGAGCAAGCCTGAACGCGGGAGAGAAAGTGAACCATGAAGACAAACACCTCAGGCAGGGAGACGGGCTCCACTTCTCATTGACAGCCCAGCATTTGGTAGATTCTACATTTATCGCTTGATCAGCTGCCTCTCTTGACAGGCCCCCTGAGTCTTCAATCCAGCCATGTGAGCGGTGCCGTAGTTGAGCAAAGAAGCCCCCGTCCTCCACCCCCCACCCTTCCTCCTCCCACTGTCTGTTTTGTATTCCACCTGCCAAGAATGCCTGTGTCCTCAGGCATCAACTATGTCTTGCCTGTTTGGACCTGCTGGGATTCCCTGTCCTCATAATTTAGTTTGGACTTGATGGATGATGGCTGAAATATAGCGCTGTCAAATATTTCTGGTATTTATCTTACCCTCGCACACACATCCAGGTTTGTTTGGCACTAGAGACTGTATTTTTCATGCGCCTTGAATTGCTTTTGCTGCTCCTAGGGGAGGTTTTTTTATTTTTTTTTATAGCTGGGCCTGGTGTAATTCTGCCTTTTTATAGTGTCTGTATTACCGCCTCTTTCTCTCCCCACAGCTTGAACGGCTCCCTGCCCAGTAATGTGGAGATCAAGAACAACACCCTGTTCTTCAAGGGACCTGTGACCTACGACCAGGCCGGCACCTACGTCTGCGACGCGACCAACGGCATCGGGACTCGAACTGGCATTGTGGACGTCAACATCACAGGTAGGTTGATACAAGCGCTCGCTTCCGTTCTCTGTCTCTTAAGTAACTCCGGCATGGCTTGCGTCAATACAGTACCCTGCTAAAGAGAACCATCAAACCCCCTATTCAAGCAAACATTCACACACACATGATGGAAGATGATAGTCTGTGGTTTCTCGATGCTACTCCCACCTGGCCTGGCTGTGTGGCCCCCCCCACTGCACTGTGAGGAAGGTGAGATGAGCTTAAAAAAAAGCCTCTGTGTTTGTGTATCATCGCTACTCGCACACACTGTGAGAACACAACAGCCGCCCCCTCTCACCCTGCCCTGTTACGCACCCAGGCGCATGTGTGGGAGCGATATAAAGCAGGTCTATTATCAGCGCCTAAAATAACATCAAGGAATATGGGGGTTTGAGGTGAAGGTACTGTATTGATCATAGTTTGCTCGCATCACGCTCCCATTTCTCCGACCAGCCCGTGCCTCTTTTGTAGTGGAGCTCTGCCTTCGTTCTTTTGTCTCTTCTGTCTTCTGGGGAAAACAAAATGCTGAACAAAACTGATTCAGTTCCCGTGCCTTCCACATAATCGCTGGCACACACGCACAGTGGTTCCTCTGGGTTTTCACCCATAGGAGACATATTTTGCACTAAAAGCCCTCGCTATACCAGATTTCACTATATGAACTGTTAATGTGGGAATCTTTTTCTATTGCTAGCAGCTGTGTGTGTGGTATTGGGAGACTGTGACAGTTTTGCTCTGGTCGGACTGGAAGGACTTTTTCCCTTCACTCTTTGTTCTACTTGTTTTCTGGGAAGCGGGGGTGTTCTAACTTGCATTGCTTTGCATGTTGACTCATGTTGTGTCTCTGGGAACGCTGGGCTTGGTGTGAAGTGAACAGCTGTGCCTTACAGTATCATTGGATACCTTTTTTTTTTTTTTTTTCCCTGTTTCCTCTTTTTCACTGTGTTATTCTCTACTGCTTAGGGGTAAAGCTAGGAGGAGAAAGCAGCTCGGTATGGTGTGATGTCATTACCTGCGTTGTGAGAAGTTGTCAAAGGAGAATGAATAGCCCCATACTTATCAAGCAGGAAAGTGAGGAAGTAATCTAGAGTCTGGAAATCACCCAGAACCAGCTTGTGTTGAGTAATTGTGTTCCAAAGACATTGTACTCTTTGATACTGTATCCCTTTAGAGTAGGAAAAACAAAGTCACCAAAGTAATTTTCTATTTCTGCTTTTTCATTGATTGCTTAAATTATCAAACCACACTGGCTTTGTCCCTGTGGTCTTTCTGTGTATTCTCCTCATTTATGTTTTAATTGTATTAAGTGACTGCGGTGAATAGCGCGTGGGTGCATCATTTGAGCACATTCAATTTCAATTTGAATGTATACATATGTAAAGTTTTGCAGGGTGTTGAGCAGGTTAAAGGAAATGTAATGCTTGAATTTGAAGCTGTGAAAACACTCTTTGCTCTCAGCGGGAGCTAGCTTTTACTCCCTGCTACTCTGCATGTTTACCGTAATTAAAATACTTAGTTATTACATGTCATCTAGAGACCTATTATTATGTCAAAGAAAGGTTTTACAATTTTTCCTTGAGCTAAAAGAACTCAATCTTTGATATCTTGAGATTTACTAGATATGTAGGTGTTGTCATTTCTGGGTCTCCTGTGTGTCTTTGTTGCTGCATGTTTGTCTTGCTTATAGCTTAACTTAGTCGATCTTGTTTAAACTCTTGGTCACAGCAGTTACTTCGCGTTGTACATCTAATCACAGGTGCAGTTCAAGAACTCATAATCCTCCTTCTATTAACGACGCAGTCTTTTGACTTTGCTAATGGTAGCTACCATAGCTTGATAGCTAACGATGATAGCTAACGATAGCTCTCCTCCCTCCCTATGATGCTATCTCCTGTTCTATGTGCCTCATGTTGGGTTATTTTGCCTGCCTCCTTTACTGGTAACAGTACATGTGTTCAATGTAGTATAGTTGCAAGGTTGGAGGCGGAAATTGTAGCGATAGACAACCCAGTCTCACGGCATTTCGTGTTATAGTCACGACATTTAATCTACTGATTCATGTTCACCAACACGATTTTCCCCTTTTTTTCGTGTCACACAGAACGATTTTAAAAGCAATGTATTTCTATTGGTAGTGTGTTTCGTGCCTGCAACACGTCTTTTTGTCCTGTTGGGTCTTGGAAGACCGGAAGCTGTGTGGTTCATAAAAATATGTTCTTTATATATACAGTCTATGGTTCTTACTCAATATCAAGCCACAATTATTGTTTTTATTTTTAAATCATATAATGTCTGGAAAAGAAATGGGGCTCAGAGCCTCAGAATACTGAAATCTGTATTTTTTTAAATATTTTTTTCCTTCTAATTTGTTATTATTTTCTAAATAACACACTTTTATTTACTCAACAATAACATACAATTATGTTTTTATTTATTTTTTAAATTCCATAATCTCTGGCTTTTTTGCCGTCCGTCAGGAACTGAATTTCAAAATAAAATAACCGGAAACAGATACACAGCCACTGAACTGATTACCCAAGATCCTCAGCTATGGTTTAAGCTCGGTGATTGGATTGTTTAGCCGCAATGCACGTTGGGATATGGTGTTTATGCGATATGAAATCCGAAAAACATTTAAAAGAAAATAATACATTATTCTGAGTGTACTTGCTTTTCTCTTTGAAAGTTATCACATAACGGCATTGTAATACACGGTTTGGCTGCATTAAATATTACACACCTGCCGTAGTTATTTATTTATAGAGCCCTGATTAGAAGACTTCTGGACAAACAGGAAGAACTGCCACGGAAACTGAATACGTGACGTGGATCATAAATATATCAGCAATTAAACAACATCTTCAATTTCTCTTCACACAATACGTCTCCTTGCAGTATCTACTAATTCGGCTGACTTTTAGATTTGATCCAATTGGTAGATAGGTTATATTTACACCATAACGGTGCACAGCTGATAGAAAAGGACTTTGAATATAAGAATGTAAATACTGAGTTGAGAGAATAGTCAGGGGTTTTGGGTGATGGGAGACACATCTATGGATTCAGAATTTCAATAGCTTACCATTAAATGACGGATATAACTTTCTGTCTGTGATACAAATCAGATATTAATGTGTAGAAGTAAAACATGTGAAATAATATAGCAATATGCTGTAAAATTATGTGAAAACATGAATAAAACTACAAATCTTCAGATGTTATACATACATAAGTGTCCTACACTAATAATACAAAGTTATTATGGCTGTGTGTACCTTGTGTGCACCGCCTAGTGGTTAAAGCACGTTATTGAATTATTGTTTTAATGTGTTATAATTGATGAATAAAATATTAAGAGTACATACTTTCATAGGGGGAAAGTAGAAGGTCAATGATAGAAATATAGAATATAAAAAATCAAGAAGATACTGTAAGTGATCTCTACAATAAAACAGTTTAGTGCCGGATGTACAAAGATATTAATAGGAGGATGTGCAAAACAGAAAAAAACGAATGAACCTTTATTAACACATTAAATAATACTTTAGATTAAGGTCTTCTTTTAAATAAGGAAAAAGCTTTGGGGGTATCTATCTACAGATAAATATTAAGCCTGACAAAGTACCGTCTAATATATTGCTTTCCTGCAATGTTAACTATGTTGAAGCACTTATTTTAACTGATATTATACATATGAATTATACTCTTATAAGATGTATGTAGATAGAATAAAATGTGCAGAATATGACAGTTTAATGGTGGAGGTATAGACACATATTGATAGATGTCTTTGATGACGCTGCACTGTTGAGGAACCTGCGACCCAAGTTGTTCATTCATTGCATAACTACACCATAGTTGTGTATATGATATGTCAATAAACCTTAGAAAATATTGAAAGAGATGTGCAAAATAGCCATTATATACAGTCTTTAATTAACTATTAGTAGAGAATAAAATAGAGAGAATTAATATCACATTCAATCTTTCCCACTCTAATTAACAGAGCACTGCAGAGCACTGACACTTACCATGCTGTGCTGAAATCTTTCAAATGTAGCCTAAAAACCTTTGCTTTAAAATAAAACATCTCTCTGTATAACAAACTGGCTGGATGCTAGCTGCAAGTGGGATTCTATGTTGTTAGATTGGCAAAAGTCGAGATTTTTTTAGAGAACATCCCCTAAAGGTCCCATACAAGCCTTAAAAATATATATTTTTGCCAGTTCCCATAGTAACAGTGACAAGTCAAAGGGAGAGGAGCTACCCCCGTAAAACACAGTTCAGAGCTCCAACATGGCACCCAGTCAAATCGCTGGTCACAAACAGCTAGAGTAAACTGTCAAACATTAGTATGGTTAAGGTTGCAGAGTGCAGAAGCAGCATGTTCAAACCGGGGCCGAGCTGTCCCTGCGTCTCATGCAGGTCCAACATGGATACATTACAGTGGGACGGCGCTTGTGATCTCTGCTGATATTGTGAAATGCTAGCCTGTCTTGAGCAAGCTTGTCAGCATAATCTCCCGCACTATCAAAGAACACCATTACGTTTCAAGGATGTAAGAAATGTTCCTTTTTAGAAGTCATTACTGTGAATGTAATGGCAGACACTGCATCCGTTATGAAGACATAAAAGAGTCTTAGAGGTGAACTTGAGGGTGGGCACGGCGTTTCCTTCTAATTCTTTTTGAAGTCTTCTATGCAGTCTTGACATTGGCTGAGCTTAATGACCCGGTGGTGGAGTTAAAGAAGTATGCTGATGCTTCATTAACTTCAAAGAGCATCTTTGTGCCTCCCTACAGCCTGAGACAGGCCTGGCTGAGACGTGGAAGGTGAGAGAGCCCACTGCTGGCTGCTGTTCAAGGCTGCACCATGGGGGCCTTAGTAATGCTAAGTGTTCTCCCTTCGCAGAAAGGGAAGGTGACCAAGCCGTTAGCTGCAGGACATGCTCAGCAGAGCGACCAGAGCTGAACATTTCTAGACTAGTGCCAAACATGA